ACAACTAAACAAACTCCTACACCAGATCAGACAGTTAAGATCTTATGCTTGATGCTTTTTACAACTATATTCAACTTGCACATTTATAAGTAAGGTTTCAATAAGTGCACCAGATGATGGTGTGAACATTAAACATCCTCATCTGTGAGTGTGCGAGTACTTGATTAAAGCATCGTGTTCAACAGCTGTCCAAGAACGTGCTGGATTTTTTATAGGGATATTACTGCCATTCGTTCTCATTACTCTGACATCAATATACGAAACAGCAATAACTACATGCTGTAGAGCGAAGTCATGAATTCTCCCAGTACCACCCATGATGTTTGTTTGTCTATTACCTGCAGTCATACATAAGTACTCATAATAGCTATCTGCATGTTCCTGTTTGCGTTGGAACACACTGGAGATAGACTGTGCATTCTCTGTTATAATGGACATGAGAGTTTATTGCCAAAGTGGCAGCAATTACAGCAAAGAATGTGTGTATGCATGTTAACTTTTGAATTCTAATAAAACATTTAATAACTACACACAGCACTAAAGATGGTTGGTGAAGGAGGATATATCCGTCCTTCTCATCATTAGCTGCCTCAAATCTGACTCAAATCTCCAGGATATTTGGCTCATAAAGGAAAGTGGTACTCGATTACACCTAATAAAAAGGCACAAATTGCAACATTCTCATATTCCAGGAGAAAGGGAAACTTTCACACCCAGCATGTCAAACCATGTAGGAAGTGCATGTGTATGATTCTATCAACATGGTTCTAATTGAAGAGTCAGTAAGAACATCATGCCTTGTCATTAACATGAAAAGTAAAGCTTATGCAATGAAGCTTCCATATTCAAACAATATTCATAGATCAGTGTGCATTAACATTACACACCTTCAGATGTGTCACATAGATGTCTTGTGAAATGTACAGGCCTCTGTGTGATTACGCATTTAAACATTGTTGATCGGTGGGTGTCAGTAACTTTCTCTCCTTTAAGCTTCTGTTTCATTGCGTGCTGGAAATTGATGGAGGAGATGTGTGAAATATTTGATGGGCCGAGTAACAGAACATGTGCAGGTACTCATTTAAACCATATATGAACCATATGGAGGGATCAGCAGGAGATATGGAGGCTATAAAAGAGGAAACATCAGGAGGAAAAAAAAGCGGCTTGCATGGGGCAGGTTAGCATACCAGACAATCATTAGACAGCATGTTGGACATTTTATCAATCACTGCTACTTTCAGCTGCAGCGACTGCTAACAAATAGGTTTCTAATCTCACCAGTATCAATTCAACTATTGAGCTTTTGTGGTACAGTTGATCAAATACATGCAGAAACCTTCATCGGCATCATAAGGGATTAAACACTGTGGACATGGCTGAATTGAATGTGGTCTGCAAACAATTTGCAACAAGCTCCTTATCTTTTCTGCCTTTTCCAGTTATATTTTAATGATTCAAATAATTGAACTGACAAAAATATCTCAAGTTATATAAAGTGCCATTTTCTATTAGTTCTCCTGGCGGTGCCTCAATCACATTAATCAATCGCCTGAATGGTTGTTAGGGGCTCTCAACAAGAAGCAGTCTATGCAATGCATACAAAATATTGAAGGGATAGAAAAGCTGCCATTAAATTATCTTATTTACACATATAAAGAGTATTAATTTAAATGATGTTGCTTACTGTGATCAAGATGTAGGTGTGTCGTCAGTAAGAGCAATTTAAACTCGGAAGTAAAAGTTCCATTTGCTTTCATAATAAAAAGGAATGTGTGCATACGATGACACATATGTTAAAGTCCACCATCACAGCACCCCACACTTACTCTAATGATTCATCCGCATGGTTACACACAGTATCTAGTATGTTAAAGCAGAAACATAATTCGAAATAACCTAAAGAAATCACAAATACATTTCCTTTTTTAGTTTACTCTTTCAGGTTGTAAATCAAGAATAATTTAAGCAAAGTGTTAAAGACTACAGAAGGTGCAAAGAGGTTTGGCTTCCATTAAGGCAGGGATTTACTGACCATTATAAATCTGAGGCACAGTAACAACACATTTCTGCATGGAACCTAAGCTGAATGAACAGGGGGAAAAACTACATCAAGAGTTTTCTACCACTCTGGAGAGAGGACAACGTATTTGCCCCAAGAACAACTGGAAGACGATATTATTATAGTTATTATAGACAGAGAGTTCCATTCTAATTACAGCATTTCTGTTGTTATGGGTTGTTTGAAGCAATCCCCTCATCAGTGAGCATGTTTGTTTTGCTTTTCAGTGTACTGTATCAAGCCTGTATTGTGCGTATATACATTTCATATTGATAATGGTCCAAGGTGAGGTGAAAATGCATATTTTCACAAAACATAATTATTGTTAGACCAAAAGACAAACAACTGTATAAGCACAGAGCTTAAGTTGAATTCAATTTTAGATCCTGGGTGAATTATGGATGAACTCATCATTTTGTTTTCCACTGCAACAGCGAACACTTTTGAATTCACTTTGATTGACACCACTGACCTGCTTTTTGCCCCAATAACAGTGGACGAGACTCATGGGTGTTGTATTTTGAGCAGTACGCCCTGACATGATGATGAACAGAACATAACAAAATGGTTCCCAACTTGAAAACTGGTGGTCACCAGGCAAACAGAACACACTGTTTACAACCCTAACACAAATGACAACAGATTACACATTGTCCTCATTACTACCAGCTAAAGCACAGTAGCTTAACATTACTGTCAGTTTAGTAAGTAAGCAAGTGGTTAACAGAATAAAGGGCATATAAGGCTGAGGGGGGAAATGAGGCCAGTGTATTTTACAATTGCCAAAAAAATCTACATGACCACAAATTACAATGTGTTAACTTGTCATCCAATGAAGAATTACTTTTAAAGGACTCTGCCTTTCCTAGAAAAGTCAGTGAACATGTTACAGCTCGTGAACTCAAAGCTTCCAAAATTCCAAGGATGTGAAGAGTACAAGAGGGCAGAGTTTAGTTCCTTTTCCCTAATTCCAGCAGCGTCAAGATGGATCCATAAAGAAAACACTGACGTAGGTTCAGTCCAGACCTAATTTGGGAAGCAGCTGAGTGCAAGAACTGAAATGACTGATTCCAGCATCTAATCGAAAACTCTCAAAATTAAAAGGTCCATTCTATAAGTCTCACTAATAAGATGTACAGCAAATTGTAGATGCTGAGGTCTCCTCCTGACATTGGGTGAGCCATCTAGCCTGAACTTGATTTGCTTGATTACTCTTAACTGCTCTGTCTCATGTGCTCGGAGTTGCCCTCCATAATGCCTCAAGCTGCCACCCACACTATTTTTGTTGAGTTTTCGTGGTGTGTGTGTTAAAACAAAATTACACTCAAGATTCTTGTAAACACAATACGAAGACTTTTACAAATATGCTTCTTATTTGTTCCGCCTCGAATTGAAAGCTGGATTGCCTGGTTTCTGCTACAGCACATGAACCCATGAAGCAGAATGTAAAACAAGTGTTCATTGAGGATTTGGTTTTGCTAAGTCTTTTATATTTTTATATTTTGGAGGGGTCGTCACAGAGTTAATTTCATGAGTTAATGAAGGTTCTGTAAACTGAACAAACCCAGTTCATAAAACTTCCTTGAACACAAAATTAAAAAAGTTCAGCAGCTTGGTCAGACAAAACATTTTAGGAAGAACCCTATACATTATACATTCATTTTCAGATACAAATCATTCATTTCCTCAGATTTATAGTGAAAGCATGTTGAAAAATAATTAGGATTTTAATGAGAATAGGCTGACTATAAAATAACCATGATCAATTGGCATCACCATTACATTTTCATTGTGAAGAGAAGATCAGATCAAAATACCAAAAACGAACCAACTGTGGTTTGAGAGACTGGGAATAAAGATGAACTTTAACGACTAAATATTGAAATGAATGAGCCATTTCACATTAAACAGGAATTTGTCTTTCGGACACTAAAACATATTCAAAGATTGTCTGCAGACTTGACATGTCTGAAGATTGTTGATGCAAATAAGATATGCATTTAAAGAGATTTAAGGATCTTTTGGTGTAAGACATGTCCTAACATCATAGTCGCATTGCACGCTGAGAGAGCGCAGAGAAAACAGAAAATTAGATTTTTATAACGTCATCCAAAACCAACAAATCAATCCTCAAGCTGCATTCAGAGAATCACGAACAAACAGGATAGCATCAGCCTAGTAACAGCACGTTAGTCAGAATTAATCATGACGTGTTCGAAGACATTTGGGCCCCGATGTCTTTCACAACATGATGCTGAAAAATGACAAAACAATCCATTTCTATAGCTCAACACACTGAAAATTCAGAAAAACAACTTCATCAATTTGACGACACGTGCTGAAAAAAGTCACAATAGCAGAGGAAATGTTTCAAGGGGACCCAAAAAAGTGATGAACCTGGCTGTAGTTCAATGCTCTGTGAAGTTCCAACAACACTGACGAGTAGCAGACTTTAATAACTTCACAGAGCATTGAACTACAGCCAGGTTCATCACTTTTTTGGGTCCCCTTGAAACATTTCCAGCATCGTTTTCGCAATCTGCATGCGCTGTGCCTTTTTGTAGCACACGTGTTGTCAAATTGAGGAAAAATGTTTTCTGAGTCTGCACGTGTTTTTTCTATTTGCATGCGTTGAGCTCTCTGTGCCACCTTAGAGGAGACACATGAGTCCAGCACGACAGGAAGAACATGTTGGAATATTACCCTCTCTCCTGGAGCAAACAGGAAATCAACAGGAACACAGCAACGTGCCCAAGCCAAGAACATTTCAGGCCACTCGAGTCAAAACACTGAAGCGTCAAGATAAACATGATGTCAACAACCCAACTGGAGAATAATCTCAGCCGCAACAGGAAAGCTGTCAACATGTAAAGCAAACACACAAACCAGCAGCTTAATGTGCGTGTCTGGGACATTATGAGCAGAAACATGAACTCACAGCATTTGAGCAGTGGTGGCTAACACTTAGCTTGTTAGCAGCAGTAGCACCAGGTCGGCGGGGGAGCGTGGGGAGTGTTTCCGGGGTCTCACGCTGTCCACAGCCGGTCAGGCTGGAAGTGGTGGTGGGTGGAGAGCTGACGTGAGGAGCCACCGCCGAACACATCCACAGCAAAACCACGCGATGGACGATTTACCCATAAATTCACCCTGGAGCCACGTGGTCCCGCAGGTGAGCTTGACGAGCGAGTGCGGTGGTAACCTAGCAACGCCAAAGAGCGAGCGGCGGTTTGAATTACCCGCCATTTTGGATCTGCACTCAGGTGTCAGTTTATTAGGAACAGCGGACACGTTTTAACCACAGACTGTATATAAACACGACCTCCATGTGCACATGCTGTCCTGGTGGGTTCCAGAGAGGTGGTCAGTCCGGAGGCTGGAGTCTGTGGTGGCTTCACACATTCAGAGGATTTCTGACTAAAGCCTCATAAATATATACTGTTGTTAAACTGGTGTTGTATATATATTATTGTTATTATTATTATGTATTATATTATATTGTATATATACTGTACTATTATTATATACTGTTTAGTAACAATAACATTACCATCATATCATCAGTGCAATTACCATCATCTCACCACTGCACCTTATCTACCTATTTATCTTTAAGTGCCCTTGTCCTATTCCGTGTGTTTATTTTTTTCTACCTACAGTTTCTTATTCTATTGTATATTTATTGTATCCAAATACCGAACTGCTATGATGACCTAATTTCCCTTTGGGGATGAATGAAGTAATCTATCTAATGTTAATAATTGAACATTATATCCAAAGCCCAACCACTATGTACTTTCGGGGAGCCAATGCCAATTTGACTTGAGTCATTCTATTTTATGACACTTTATGTGTCTACACCACTTGATCAGAAGGAACTGCTGTACTTTTTATTCTTTCAGATAACTTAAGTTACTATTCACACCAATGATACAAAGTATAACCTCCAGAATACTCCTACTGATACTTGATATGTAAGTACAGTGGAAGAAAACAGGGGTATGGGCAACAAGGGAAACAACTGGGCATTTTAAAGGAAATGATTTATTTTACACAGTGTTACTGACTTCACTGATCGCCAGGGGCAAAGAGAAGCTGCAGCAGGAACAAAGTCAATATCAGCTTCACCTTTAACAGCGATAAAATTAAAGTAATGTACACATTTAGCTATCAGTGATTATAATCCAGTTCAGAATACATTATTCTAAATGGTGCCATTCTGCACCATGACTATATTAAGTCACTTAGTGTTTCTTCTCTGTAGAATATAAATGTCCGTCTCTGTTCAAAGATGGTCTCTGGCGTTGTCCTTGAACTTTCTCTGGCACTGTCCACTTGTTTCTTGTCATTTTATCGACTCACCTTTCCTTTTAGTTATTGTATCTGATTTCAGGTAACTCCAAGTTTTTTGAACACTTGAGGAATCTTGTTTTCTTCAGACACATTTACCAGTGTCCATTCTGCCTCAGCATGAGTTGAAACAGGAAGCTGATCATTTCTTGAAATATTTCACCCTTCACGTGTCAAATAAAATCCTCCGTGTGTAGATAATTTAACAGATTGTGTGTTGTTTTGTGCCAAACACGAATACTCCTCTCCAGTGTGATGAAGGGATCAAGTGACTCGTTTTGAAAGTTGCATGACCAGAGGACATAAGCTGACTTTTCGTTGCCGTGCGGCTTAGTCAGTACAGATGCTTCTGAAATTAACTGAGTTAAAACTAGACATTTGTGGTAAATATTTGAGATTTTTCTATTTAATTGCCTCATTGTTGGCAAGTCAAAGCTGCTTACCAAAAAGCCCTCTTTTATCCACTCTTAAGCCTGCTTCTCTGGCTGCATTATTGTTCATCTATAGTGGATTTCCGGTGGCTGTGCAACGTTTTTCCTTTGGTTTATTCTCCTCTTTTGATGAGAGGATAATATCATGTCAACCGTAAGTGTTGGCCAGTTGTGTAACTGACATTTCTGAAAGTACGGTGGATCTAATCTCGTGTGTGTGTTTCCATTTTTTACACAATATCCCCTGCTGTGCATCGTAAGTGAAAGACTAGAGCCAAAGATATTGCCTGAAAATCAAGTAAGGTGTGTGTGAGTAAATCTCACCAGAAAGAAGTGAAGAAGAACTTTAAAATAAAATGCACATGAACACGAAAGTTATTTACTTTGCACTAAAATGGTTCATAACCAAGAGGAGATGTTTTATTAGAAAACAGCTGGGTAATAAAAACATCTGAGGGAGCCAGAATACCCACAAGGCAAACAAAGATTGAAATCAACCACAAACTAAATGCAACAAAACCACATCAACGTGCAGGAAAACAAAAACCCACCTGTGTTCATCAGTTGTTTTCAAACGTTTCATATCTGATTGAAGATAATGAGATGAGGCACATCACTTGAAAATGAGGAATGAGCTTCCTCTCCATTCCCAGAAAGTGAGAGAGAGAGATGCAGGGCCCAGAAACAGCTGATTAGATTACCCTGCTGGGGCTGTGGTGAGGCTTTACTCTGCGGCTGCCACCCAGCCTCTCACCTCAGCTGCCCTCTTCCCTCAGCTCTCATCCTCCCTCCGGCCCAGGGTTGTGCTGCAGTCGCCGCAGTGTAACACCCCCCCCTGTAGGATCAGGGCAGGATTTCAGAAGCCTCAGCCCGGCTGCCTTCACTGGATTAGTTGTTTGAAAAGTCAACGGGAGAGAAAGAAGTCTTCAGTGGTTTCTGCCGTGGGTCGGCGAATGATGAGAGCGATGGTGTATGTTCTCTACCCCTAACATTCAAATAGGAAAGAGTTTTTTCACAATCTTAATTTTTTATTTTCACCTCCGCCAAGGAGGTTATGTTTTCACCCCTGTCCATTTTTTTGTTGGTTTATTTGTCTATTTGTTTGAAGGAGGATTGTATAAAAACTGCTCGATGGATTAACATGAAACTTGGTGAAAAGATGTGGTATGCGTCAGGGAAGAACCCATGCAATTTTGGTGCAGATCCAAGATCAGTTTTTTATTGCTTTTTGTAACACTGTGAGATAGAGTGTTTTAATTCTTGAAATCAGGCTTATTTAGGGATTTAGGGACAGATATCAAATTTGGTGCAGCTTGATTGGAGTTAAAGTCTGTTGGGCCTTGGTGGAGATATACACTACTGATTGCCAAGTTTCACATCAGGTACAAGCAAATCGGTGTCAGTTATTGACCCATTACTGTCCCATTTGAGAGTTAATCTAATTGTACTTTGCACCTCAGAGGAAGGATTCCAAAACTCTGCCTGACAATTGCGGTCAGGAAAAGAAATTTGACAAGACTGAATGACAGGGGATGTGTGTGTGTGTGTGTGTGTGTGCTCGCTCGTCTGATCAGGTTGAAATTACTTTAGAATTAAGTCACGATCTCAAATAGTCTTCCAGACAGACTTGTGGTCTAATCAAATATGTCAGAACACAGCCCAGATAAGTCAGTGGAATCCAGAGATGGTTACTTGCTACTAAACTTTACAGAGGTTTGAAGGTAATCAGAAGGCCGGTGTGATGCCAGTGTGTGAATGATTGAGATGAATGTGGTAGTTCTGTGTGGATATTTGTATTGTTAGGTGAATGTATGCTGTATTGTAAAGCACTGTTAAGACCAGAGAAGTACTTTCTAAATGTTCTGTTTACCATTTACCATGTGGCCTGAGGTAAAAAATCATTGCCACAACTCCTCATTCCCGCTTTCTTTCCTTTAAATTTAAATTTATATTATTTTCAATCCCTTTTCTCTGAACATCAGTTATCGATATTTAGATTAAGGCTTTGGGACTGGTCTGCAGGACAGAAATCAACATTTGCAGGTGCTGATTATGAAAAGAGTCATTAGCTGCAAATCTAAACATTAAAGTAAACCTCACAGTAAATCCAACAGTAAATGAAACTGAATTAAAGTTATACTGTACCTCCACATATAGATGCTCCTCCAGGCTGAGTGTCTATGGTACAGCGCTGAGATGTATAACTATAGAGAGATAGATAGATAGAGAGAGTACAGACATATTGATTGATAGATAGACCACATAATAGATGTAAAGCTGGAGACTGGTTGTTGTATCCCTCTCTCTCTCGTGAACCACTAATTCAAATCTTTTTACTCTTTGTTGGGAAGGTAGGACATTTTTGCAGCAGACACAATCTTTAACCTCCTCCAGGAAAGATCGCTCTCCAGATACTAGGCCGGGGACATAACATTTTGTCTGTGAGTCGGCCCTGGCTGATACCGGCAGCCTGCGATGCTCCAGATGGTGACAGCCTTCCCCTCCAGTAGTCTGCCGGTCTTGGCTCTCAGCCACCTGTGAGTCAGGTAGGGCAGGTGAGGACAGCTTGGCAACTACACACTGCGGCACGCAAGCCCAGATGATGCTGTGCGATTTGAGCGAGCGGGCTGATCTCTGACCTGGATCCGAAAGAATTAATGTCGGTATGGTCAGTTTGTGTAACGTTGAATCTAGTGTAGATGTTAGGTTATATACCAGCGTCTTTATTTGTGTCCCTCCATGATACTGTGTGTGTCCTCCCAGCCTATCAATAAGTACAAATTTACTACACCTTCTCCTACTTTAAATCACTCTACTTTACAGCACGGTTTAGGTGTCATAAAAGTGGCGTCTTCCGTTTTTGCCTGTTTTAGTGCTCTGAAATTATAGACCTCTCCTCGCTGGGAAAGTGAACACCTGGGCCTGAACACTCATGCTGGCAGATCTCCAAGAACATCAACAGCTCCACCAGTCACATCCTGATGAGCGAACATCGTTGCATCATGGTTCACTCCGGCTCACGGGTATTTAGCATAAAGCGAGAAAGGCAGAAATGGCTTCGATAATCTTTCAATATTACGGAGGTCACGGCACATTACAGCATTCTACTCAGAGCAGATTGACAGCTGCTCTTCTGATTCTGACGTGATTCCTAACAACAGTCATTGTCACACTAGCTTTTATTTCATTTCATGGTATTATGTTGGCGTTCATACATTTTATATGCATCTAACAGCACTTTAAATCCCTACATTAAGGCTCTCGACTTCTGTGTCATCTGGTTATAATCTTTTTGCATTAGTCTTGCGTGATGGTTTTAACATACACACTGTTCTTGCTGTATAAA